TAAAAATATACATGAATACAGAATGAGCATCCATAAAGAACAAAGTCTGCCTTTCATCAGTAGGCCTAATATGGAGGTTTCAATATTCCAACAGTGAAATCAGTTCTCTAGAAGAAAATAATATGGTTTGTAGTAAGATCAAATTGTGTCATACTTCTGAGTAAGGCTGGCAATATATATATATATATGATCTATTTAGAACCTATATGCTCAAGACCAGATGACAGAAATCAAAGTCCTAAATTGGTGTAAAATACTTATCATAATAGATAGATAGAATCAACACTATTAGAATGTCAGTTCTTCTCGTGATGAAGTTTATTTCATATAGATTCAAATAAAAATCATTGCAGATATAAATTAATTATTACATTATAATCATTACAGATATAAAATATCTGTATCTATAATCATTACAGATATAAAATATATTCCTATAGCTCATGTTATGAGACAGATAATCTCTAATACTCAAGAGAATATTGAAAAAAATGAGACCTAATATAATGTTATTCAAAGCTACATAGATCAATAGAATATATTAAAGATTTAAAAATGTTAGTACCCATTTGCAAAAAATTTAAAAATTGTTCATCAAGTATTAAAACCAGTGAAACGGACAAAAAAGTCTTTTAAACAAATTGTGCTTAAAATTATACAGCTATTTATAAATAAAGAACCTAGAATATGCTTTCTAAAAATTATTCCAGAGGTGTCACATATTTAAATGTGTATATCTAGAAAATGATAATTTCTAGAAAAAACATAGAGGAAAGTCTGATAAAATACTGGCAAACTGTGAAAACTCATACCAAAATAATCATCAATCATGATCAAGCTGTTTTCATTTCAGAGATACATCGATGGTTCAACATACTTAAATCAATAAATGTTATAGATAATGTAAATAGACTCATTGACAGAAATCACAAAATCATCTCAATAAATCCAGAAAAAGTTTTGTCAAAAGGCAACATCCTTTTATGGAAAGATTCATGGAGAGACCAGTGATGGAGAAAGATTACTTGAACAAAATGAAGGTTGTGCTGTGTACACCTATGGCCACACAGTTAATAAGGATGATCTATTTAAACCTCAAAACAGAGTAATGACTGACCCTTTTATTGCATCTTTTATTTTTTTTTATTATAATGTAGTGGTATCATGTCCACCTTTACTTTTTCCTTCCAACACCCCCACATTAACTCCTCTTGCTCTCTTTCAAATCCATAGCCTCTCTTTTCAGCAAATGTTGTCCTGTGCACATATTTTTTTATTTCCCACCCACTTCTGTCACTTTTTAAGACAAGCCTTATTGCTACTTCTGTATAATATTGGAAGAGTCAGCTTTCTATCCTACATCACTAGTTTCCAAAAGCAGTTGTAGATACTATAGCTATCCCTTGGGAAGGTGAATGTATGTGGATACAAAACCCCTCAATTCTGATAAGCCCCACGATGCTGTTTTCCCATTAAGAGAGATTGTTTTAAGCCCTAAGAATTTTCTAAGGCATTAAAGGATCAATTACTAAAGTTTCAAATTTTCTGTGTGTTTATATGGTTTGTCTTCAAAAGGAGAAGTAAGAATTTACCATGTATTTAAAACACAGCTTTTACTAAAGTATTCCTAGGGTTATTGTGGCACTCTGGTCATTGTTGTGGTTCATAGGTCTTATAGGTGTTTAGAACTGTAGCTTCCCTCCCTTGGAAGCTTGCATGGTGCCTTTTGGTAACATGGTACCTAAATTTCAGGGAGGAAACTTTCAGGTCAGATCCAACTTGTGGTCTCTGGGCCCTGCGTCTGCAGTACATGGTGTCTTCAACAATAAGGACTTACTCCTAGCTCTGGGGGCAACCAAGTGCAATAGCAATAGCCTATAATATTTTGGCAGACCCTTGGACAACACCTACCAACAACTCAAAGAGAATTTTTTAATGCCTGGGAGTTTTGTTAGATCATATATACCTCTCAGGAGGAGAATTTTCAGTTCTGATGAGAAAATTTATATATATTTTATATATATATATATATATATATTTATTGCATCTTTATATATATCTATATCTATCTATATCTATATCTATCTATATCTATATCTATATTTATCTATATCTATATCTATATCTATATCTATCTATCTATCTATATATATATATATACTGAACCTAAAATTTATTTTAGGCATATTTGCTAGTCAATAGTCTGCTTTCTTATGACATTTTCAGACATCCTTATTTACTCTCCTCTCTCCTTCTATATTTATTTCCCCAACCCCAATTAAAGACGAGCTTATTTTTCTTATTTCATCCTTCAGATCATTTGAAACCTGATACTCCCTACTCTACTGCTTTCTGCACTCACCCTTCAAATGATTCCTTTTTATTTTCCTGACTATTGCAGTTACATGAGGGTATTTATTCACAACTGAAAATTTGGAGCGAGGACTAACAGTAGAGATCTAACACGTAACAGTTGTCTTTCTTGGTCATTGTTGCATCACTCTATATAATCTTTTCTAGTTGTGTTCATTTATCTACAAGTTTATGATTTCATCTTTCTTTAAAACTGAATAGTATTCCAAAGTGTATATGAACCACATTTTCATTATACATTCATCAGTTGAAAGGCCTTTAGGCTGTTTCTATTACCTAGAAATTGTGAATAAAGTAGCAACGAAAATGACTGAACAAACATCTGCAGTAAACGTAGAGACCTGGCATAGTCCAAGAAATGCTTTAGTGGGATTATATAGTAGATTTATATTCAATGTTGCAACTATTCTCCAACCAGATTCTGAGGGTGATTTTACTAGTTTGCAATCACTTTTACATTTTTTAAATACATTTTTATTTTATAATTAATGTAATTTTACATATCAACCGTGGATTCCCCTGTCCTTCCTCCTCCCACCCCCCAGATTTCCCCCCCAACCCACTCCCCATTCCCACCTCCTCCAAGGCAAGGTCTCCCATGGGGAGTCACCCCAGCCTGGTAGATTCAGTTGAGGCAGGTCCAGTCCCCCCCCCCCCTTCCTACACCAAGGCTGAGCAAAATGTTTCAGCACAGGCCCTAGGTTCCAAAAAGCCAGCTCATGTACCAAGGACAGGTCCCAGTCCCACTGCCTGGGGGCCTCCTAAATAGTTCAAGCTAATCAACTGTCTCACTTATCCAGAGGGCCTGATCCAGTTCCATGGGGGCTCCTCAGCTATTGGTTCACAGTTCATGTGTTGGCTATTTGTCCCTGTGCTTTTTCCAATCATAGTCTCAATATCTCTTGCTCATATAATCCCTCCTCTCTCTTGCCAATTGGACTCCTGGAGCTCTACCTGGGCCTTGGCCTTGGATCTCTGCATCTGCTTCCATCAGTCACTGGATGAGAGTTCCATCATGACAATTAGGGTGTTTGGCCATCCAATCACCAAAGTAGGTCAGCTGGGGCTTTCTCTAGACCATTGCCAGTAGTCTATTGTGGAGGTATCTTTGTAGATTTCTGGGGACCTCTCTGGCACTCTGCTTCTTCCTATTCCCATGAGGTCTTCATTTATCATAGTATCTCTTTCCTTGTTCTGCCCCTCTCTTCCTGACCCAGCTAGGACCTTTTGCTCCCCTAAGCTCTCTTTCCCCCAACCTTTGCCCTCCATTACCCCCACTCACATCCAGTTTGCTCATGTAGATCTCATCCATTTCTCTGTTGTTGGACAATCCCTGTGTTTTTCTTAGGGTCCACTTTACTAGGTAGCCTTCCTGGAGTTGTGAGTTACAGTCTGGTTATCCTTTGCTTTACATCTAGTATCCACTTATGAGTGAGTACATACTATGTTTGTCTTTCTGAGTCTAGGTTACCTCACTCAGGATGATTTTTTTCTACCTGTCAGAATGGCTAAGATAAAAAAAACACTGAAGATAGCTTATGTTGGAGAGGATGTGGAGCAAGGGGAACACTCCTACACTTTTGGTGGGAATGAAAACTTGTACAGCCACTTTGGAAATCAATATCAAGCTTTCTTAGAAAATTGGGAATCAACCTCCCTCAAGACCCAGATACACCACTCTTGGGCATATACCCAAGGAATGCTCAATCATACCACAAAGACACATGCTCAACTATGTTCATAGCAGCATTATTTGTAATAGCCAGAATCTGGAAACAACCTAGATACCCTTCAACTGAAGAACAGATAAATAAAATGTGATATATATATATATATATATATATATATATATATATATACACACAATGGAGTACTACTTAGCAGAGAAAAACAATCACATTTACATTTAATGAGGGTCCTCTTTTCCTCCCATCCTTGCTTGTTTTTTGCAGTTCTGTTTGGGGTATGATGAAATTTGAAAGTATTATTTTATTTACATTTCCCTAATCTTTAGGGATAGTGAATATTTTCTAGATATTTCTCAGCCATTTTATTTCTTCTTTTGAGAACTCTCTTTTTCAGATCAAATCTCATTCTTTGAGTGGGTCAATTGTTTATTGAGTTCTTTGGATAATAATCCTCTGACAGCTGTATAGCTGGAAAATGTTCTGTTCCATTCTGTGAGATTCTTCTCATGATTGATTGTTTCTTGAGCTTGGCAGAAGGTTTTCAGGTTTATGGAGTCACACCTATCCATTGTTGCCCTTAATTACTGGGCAAGCAGTGTTTTCTTCAGAAAGTCCTTTCCTATATCTACACCATGTCAGGTACAGCCCAGTGTCAGTGTTGCGGGTTTCAAATTAAGGTTTTTGATTCATTGAGATTTACTTTTTGTAGAAGGTGATCTGTATGAATCTAATTCACTCCTCTACATGTTCACATCCTGTTTTACCATCACTATTTAATGAAGGTACTTTACTTCCTCTGGTATATGTTGTTGGCACCTTTGTAAAACATTAGAAGACTAAGGTTATATGTACTCGTGTTTGGATTTTCTATTTTGTTTCATTGGTCTATATGTCTGTTTTTGTGCTACTACCATATTTTTATTACTATTATTATTATTTTTTATCTTTCAAAGGTATGTAGTTGGTATTTATTTAGTATAAAAAACCTGCACAGTGTAACAAATACAGTTTTTACAGCTGTTTTGCAATCGTGGTGGCTGTTCATTTGTGTTTCATACTCTGAATTACTTCATCTAGTAGCTTGTTCACTTCTTTGTGTCTCGTAACTGCTCAACTCATGCAATCCTGAAGTTTAGCTCCAGTAAGTCCACTCCCACCTGGCTTGTGAAGACAACACAGCTTGCCTTCCTCATCCATTACTATCGTTAAAGTTCCTGTTGATAGGTGTTCCTCCTCTCCAGTAGGATCAGCTATCAGCAAAGTGTCATCAAACACAGCAAAGGAAGTTGCAACTGGGTTTGTTCTAACATTCAAATAACTTTTCTTCTTTAAATTAACTTCTGCTAAAGCAGTTTCTTCGTTTACAGTAACTTCAGGCAACTGTACATTTTTTAAAGCGGCTAACAAAGCAAATGTGCAGGCATCCAAAATATTTCCATCGTAGTCTAGGCAGATAAGGTCACAATACAGAACCCAAGCCAGCTTGCCTGGAGAAATGTATAAGACCTCTTTCTTAATAATCTGTGATTTTTCAATGACATCTGCAATGAACTGGCTGGTCACTTGGGCCTCTTCTCCAGGAGGTCCAGTCCGAAACCTCGATGAACACAGTGGCGGCAGATCCATGTTAGGGACAATATATCCTTTATCAGGGGCATTTAGTGGTGGCGCTACAAATTCTGCTTTAACTCCACAAATGACTGTGGTGTTCCCCAGCTTCACTAGAGCAGAACCGTCCGCTGTACTGATTGAACCTATGTTGACAGTTGTGGTTCTGAATTCACCAAGTTCTCTTCCATCAGGACGACAGTTTTCTTTCAGAAATCTCCTGTAATACTCCAGTGGTTCCACAGTTTTGAACCCGGCCGCCATCTTCCTGCCCGCACCGCCTACTATTATTTTATTACTATGTCTATGCAATGTATCTTGAGATATAAAACAGAAATCTCTTCACCATTTGTCTTCTTGCTCAAAAATATTTTGGCTGGATCTTCATTGGTTTTATATGGATTTCAGGATAATTTTTCTATAAAAAAATGATGGGTATTTTGATTAGTAATGTGTTGAATCTGTAGACAGCCTTGGATAGATTGATTGTTCATTTTTCCAATATTACTTCTACCAATCCATGAGCATGTCATGTCATTCTATTTTGTAATATCTATGTCTCTTCCTTCAGAGGTTTAAAAGTTGTCACAATGAAAGTTCTTCACTTTTATTAGGTTAGGTTTATTCCTAGATATTTTGTTTTATTTGGTGATATTGTGAATAACAATGTGTCCATGAATTTTTTGTATGTTTGTTGGTGTTGTATATAAAAGCTATTGACTTATGCAATTGATTGTGTATCCAGCCACATTGCTAAACTTGTTTATTATTTCTGAAGTTTTCTGGGAGAAGTTTTTGAATATCTTAAATATAATATAATATCACCTTCAAATATTTATTTTCCTGTTTGTGGCCCTTTAATTTCCTCCTCTTCCCTCATTACTCCAGATAATGCTTCAGGCACAATGTTGAAAATTTGTTTGAATAGTGAACAGCCCTGTCTCATTCTTGATTTCAGTCAGATTATTTCAAGTTTTTCTCTATTTACCATGACAATATTGGTTATGGGTACCTTTTATTGTGCTTCTGCATGTTCCATTCATACTTATACTCTCTAAGACTCTCATCATGAATGTGTGTTAGATTTTTGTCATTGTTGCTGCAATTATTGAGATAATCATGTAGTTTTATCTTACATTTATTAAGTTCCATATGTTGACCCATCCCTGAAAGAGGTAAAGCCAATCTGATCATGGTAGACAATTTTTGTGATGAATTACTGTATTTGGTTTGCACTTATTTTACTGAGTATTTTAACATCTATATTCACATGGGATATTGGCTACAGTTTTCTTTGTTACTATTCTATCTTCACCTTCTTTGGGGATGTGAGTGATAATAGCTTCATAAAAGAAGTTTGGGAGTTCACCTTCTGTTGTTTGCTTTTCTTAATAGTCTAAGAAGTATTGGCTGTATAGTTTGGTAAGTTCGGCAGAAATCTGTAATGAGTCCATTTGTGTCCAGACTCTTTATAGGTAAAAAGCTTTTTATTTTTAATTCAGTTTCCTTGTTTACTATCACTCTGTTTGGGTTGTTGATCTCTTCTTGGTTTAATTTTGGTGATTTGACTGAACTATAAATTCATTAACTTCTTTTAGGTTTTTCAAATTAAGGAAAATTTTTAAAGTGTTTTTAAAGTGTTTCCTTATAGTGCTCTGAAAATGTTTGGTGTCTGTTGTAATGTTTCCTTGTTCATTTCTGATTTCTGATTCAGTTAATCTGCAGCCTCTTTTTCATTTGGTTAGATACTGTGGGTCTGTCTTTCTTGTTTATTTTCTCAACAGTTTAGCTGTTAGATTAGTTGATTCTTGGTATTAACACACACATACACACACAGACTCTGTCTCTGTCTCTGTCTCTGTCTCTGTCTCTCTCCCTCTCTCTCTCTCTCTCTCTCTCTCTCTCTCTCTCTCTCTCTCTCTCTCTCACACACACACACACACACACACACACACACACACACACACATTGTTATTTGTCTGATGACTGAATGGCTAGTCTACAAGAAAAGTGTACGTATCTAGAGAAAGACTGTATTCAGGTTAAGTATGCTTGTTCGTTTTTCTGTGCTCTGCAGTATCCTGGATACTACACACAGTTCTTATGTGGTTCTTAGGATTTACTACTTCTCTGTCATCACAAAGACAGTCATCAAATAACATTGGCTTATGATAAGGATATAAGTACAGAAGATACATTTACAGCAAGCTAAAACAGCATTGCACACTTAAAACAAAGGCGCTACATTTCTAAACATTGGAAATAGATGACTGAGCTTCTTGACTCCTACAGTAGCCACTCTGAGATGAATTTCCAGGCTGTGTGCTGCAATATGGTGAAACTCAGACCAGCATGGTGTTATAGTTGAGATGAGAAGCTGGGGTCTGTAGGACATCAGGTTTACAGCACAGCAGAGAAAATCTAGCTGCCATCAGTACATGTGTAGAGTATTTAACTGAGTATGGATGGGAGGCCCAATGGTAGAAAGCTGCCTAATACAAACACACAGAGTGATAAATCTTGGAGCTGCACAATGATTTGTTTCATAGGCAGTTGGGAAAATCTTATAACCTACAAGTTATTGGGAAGAAAACACAAAGGGAGTTATCCTTGGGACTGAGAAAATCTTCACCCAGAGTAAATGTGGTTCTAGTCCTGCCTAACAAATCCTAAAATAAGAGAAATAATCATACTTCTCAGGTAACTTGGCAGTAATCAATAACAATGTTCAACTCTGTTTATAGTGGAGCTATACAGTCACAGCAAGGCGGATATGCACTATTGTGTTCATTTATATATGACGCAGCTATGGAGAGAGAGAGAGAGAGAGAGAGAGAGAGAGAGAGAGAGAGAGAGAGAGAGAACCATTTGGAAGTGCTAAGTTAATTTACCACAAGTAGTTTGTTTTTTGTTTTTTGTTTTTTTTTTTTCATAGAAAAGAAGTCAGGCTGGAGGTCAACCGAGCAGTACCTCTAAGGTACAGAAAACAGACCAAAGCAAAACAAATGCATATAGAATTACACATCCACATAAATATGAATTTCCAAAACAAAGATGAAGCCATACATTTGCCAACAAACATAACTTATTACCTTCACACTTGGGAAGGAGGGAATGGTGAAAAAACTCTCAAAACGTGAAATTGAAACCTGTGTACAGACAATGGACAAAACTCACAAACACAGCAACGGGGTGGATAAACGAAACACACTTGTCTGAAGTTAACATCCCCTGACAGCTGAGTTTTAAACAAAAACACTATTGTACTGTGAGCTTCATATTATATATGTGACAAGATGATAAAACAGTTAGTAGAGAAAAGGCAGACGGAAGCATTTATAAGATCATTTTCCAATATGCACAGTGGTACAGCGATGTCTGAAAGTAAATAGTGATAAGTTAAAAAGCATACATAATGCAAGGAGAAGCAAATGCTTAAAAAAGAAAAGAAAGAAAAGCATCATGGTTAACAAGCCGACCAAGAAGAAAATAGGATGCTGACATAATGCGTAAATCCCAAAGAATATTTTATTTTAGTTATTATTAACTTTTGGTAAACCAGGGAGTTTTATTAGGGGTTACTTATGGGAATATAGGTGAGGGAATACTTACGGAAAGGACATTTTAGAAGAGGCAGAAATGGATCAGAAGGAGGATGAATATGAAAATATTAAATGTGTAAAACAGCTATTACTACATCCAACCTTTTTAATTATCTGAGAATTAATAACCAGCAAATGTCAAAAACTAAGAAAGAACTAAAACCAACATCACAGAGAAAGTTAATTAGAAAATACATGAACGGTTTATCTGAGACTAGAGACACAGACCTGTGACATCTGCTACTGAGGAACCTGGGGTAAGAAAGCCAAGTTCTAAGTCCTCCTGGGCTGTGGAGCATAAGACTTGCCCCAGTAATTTATCAAGTAATTTATCTATAAATGCTTAAAGAAATGAACGAAACAGTGAAAGATGGATGTATAAATGAGAGGTAGAGAATTTTTATAACATATACAAATGTTTTAATAATTTTGGTCCCTGGGCCTATGAAAAGGAAAAAAAGAGAAATAAAATTTAAAAAAGAAAAATAAAGGAAAAAAAAAAAAGGAAAGAGCACCAAATATAAAAATGACCTTCCTTGTTCACTAATAAATGTAGATTTTAAATATATATTTGAAATTTTGTTCAACATAATTAATTATGAAAGTTTACAAACTGAAACCAAAATAATAAGACTATGGATCTTTCACAATGTCTAAAACTATAACACCTTTATTAGATGGCTGGCAGCACTGAGGAACAACTATATGTTCAGTCCTGTTAAGAAACCACAGGGATAAATATATTTTAGAAAGTACTTTTGTGTTTCCTCCAAAAATAAATTGTACGCTTTGCTTTCTCCATTTGTGGATCTCTGTGTTAATTACCATCTACTGTGAGGGTTGAGTGACACATTAACCTATGTGCATAGCAATAAGTCATAGTCATTTGGTGGCTATCATCACTTAACCGAATATTAGTAGTAGCTTTTTTTTATAGTGTATGACTTATCTAGTCTCAGACTCTTGATTCCTTCCTTTTGGAGGAACCACAAAACTGCTTTCTAAAATATATTTGTCACTGCAGTTTCTTACCAGTACTGAATATTTATAGTTGTTTCATGGCCCCGCCAACAGTCTAATAAGGGTGCTGTAGTTTTAGACATTGTGAAAGATCTATAGTGTCAGAGACACTAATTAACAGTGTCGGATATCTCATAGAGCAGGCCTTAAATTCAAATAGAAACGGTTGATTACTCTCATAATATTTGTAACACTGTTGTACAGGTAGGCATATCTTTAATGCAAGACTCTGTAGTTGACAGGGTTCATAGTGAGGAGAAGTTGAGCACAATTAGTGCTAGCCAGAACGTGTGAAGCTTCTGTGTATATTTCTCTCTCTCTCTCTCTCTCTCTCTCTCTCTCTCTCTCTCTCTCTCTCTCTCTCTCCATTTTTATTTTATTTAATTTATTTTCATTTTATATACCAACCACAGTTCCCCCTCCCTCCCCTCTCCCTCTTCTCTTCCAACCTCCTCCCCATTCCCCATCCACTTCTCATAGTTGGTAAACCTCTCTTGGGTAGTCAACACCAGCTGGTTTACCAAGTAGAGGCAGGCCCAAGCCCTTCCTCCCTGGATCAAGGATGAGCAGGACCAGGGCATTCCACAATAGGGAATGGGCTCTAAAAAGCTTGTTCCTGTCCCCAGGATAAGTCCTGGTCTC